AAATCTCACGAACATACATAGAAAAGTTTTCAATGAATACTCCAAGCTTTTTAATTTTTTAGATATAATATTTTATGGGATTTGCTTTATTTCATAGATAAAAAGAAATCACTCCGTAATACAAAAAACTAGTACTTTATTGTTTGTTGAATATTGTTAATTGACGATTTTTTTGAAATTTTGCCCCGCCGATCACCATTAAATTCTCTGGTTCATTCACGGATCGGCAATTAATATATGCTCGACAGGATCCCGGGACCTTGCTCGATGTTTGTAAATCATACGATGTGGGCACCCGCCCAATAAAATATTAATATTGAATGACTGACCTATATTTGACAGGTTACATCATAATTATTACCAAAAAAAAATTTTCTTCACCATGATGGTTCAATCGAATACGACAACTATATCCCTAAATAAAAAGACAGAAGTTGACGAAACTGACAATGTGGAAATTGAGTATGTATCAGAACTCCCGGATCTATCTAACGAACCTTTCTTTGAAGAATTCTCAAAGGTTTTTGCCCATTTTCAGATCACGAAAGAAGAACCTGAGGTATCTTTGCTGTTGTTAAAATCACACCATTTAATAAATATTTTATTCTTGAGCTATCTATACATCTACTCTTTCCTTTCTTTCCTATCAGCTAAGAAGCAAATAAAAAAAGGATTATAATTATTATTTTTTAATTTATTAATGATAGAAATAAAAAATACAATTACTAAACTTTAAGAGATAATATAATATATATATGTATGTGTGTGTGTATAGGTACCCGAGGCTAATTTAAATAATGATAGAGACGAAGAAAAGGCTGAAACTATAAACCCACAAAATGAGTCAAAAATCAAAAATCCATCAGATGAAGAATCAAATGCAGATTTAGATGAAGATAAACAAGATAAAATATCGAAAAAGAAACTAAAGAAATTAAATAGATTAAGTGTTGCTCAATTAAAACAATTAGTTAAAAGACCTGAAGTAGTCGAGGTATATTTTAGAAAATTTTTCAGGAAATATTTTTATTTTAATTAATAATTAATTATATTGTATTATAAAAATCACAATATAGTGGGTTGATGTTACAGCAGCTGATCCAAAGCTTTTGGTCAGTTTAAAAGCTTATAGGAATACTGTGCCCGTTCCTCAACATTGGTCTCAAAAAAGAAAATATCTTCAAGGAAAAAGAGGAATAGAAAAACCCGCGTTTGATTTGCCAGGTATACACAAATGTATACACATACTTTATATATATTGATATATGATATATTTGTAATAGTTGTATTTTATTCATATTATTGTAGAATTTATAAAGGATACTGGTATAATGGAAATGAGAGAAGCAGTAAGAGAAAAAGAAGATGCAGCGAAATTAAAGCAAAAAACTCGTGAAAGAGTTCAACCAAAAATGGGAAAATTAGATATTGATTATCAGAAATTACATGATGCGTTTTTCAGATTTCAAACTAAACCAAAGTTGACAATTCATGGTGAATTGTAAGCAAATTTTTAATTTCTTAAATTTAATAATACTGACTGATAAGGGATTATAATTGATATTTATACATATATGAAGGTATTATGAAGGTAAAGAGTTTGAGACGAAATTAAAAGAAAAGAAGCCAGGACAACTTTCAGATGAATTAAAGGCTGCATTGAATATGCCACCACTTGCCCCACCACCATGGTTAATTGCTATGCAACGTTATGGTCCACCACCAAGTTATCCTAATCTAAAAATTCCAGGGCTTAATGCTCCGATTCCTGAAGGGTAATTATAGTAATAATAATAATTTTTTTTTATTGAAAAAAATAACAAATAATGTATTTATATTAAAAGTGCACAATGGGGATTTCATCCTGGAGGATGGGGCAAACCACCTGTGGATGAGGTAATTAATATATTATTTTTTCAACTATTTATATAGAAAGAAACTTACTTTAAAAAACAAATTATTAAAATTTAGTATAATCGTCCATTGTATGGAGATGTTTTCGGAACATATCATCAAGACATACCATCAGAGGTCAATTATTACATTCATACGCATATTTTATAATTCATTTTTTATCCATATTGTTCATTTATTTATTTTTTAATTTTTTTAATATTATAGAATGTTCAACCAATTGAAAGGAAATTATGGGGAGAGCTGGAACCTGAAGAAGAAGGTATATATCTGAATACACACGCACACACATATGTATATACATATAAAATATATAATGCCTATATATAATAATTTTATTTAGAATCAGAAGAGGAGGAGGAGGAAGAAGAAGAGGAAGAAGTGGCAGTAGAAGATGAGAGTGTCACATCAAAAGCATTACAAGAGGGACTTGTAACGCCAAGTGGATTTTCAAGTGTACCGAATGGTTTACAAACACCTGATTATATTGAATTGAGAAAATTCCAAGCTACGCCAGCAACCACTACATCATCGTCAGCAATAAATGCTAGTTTGGCAAGTGGATTGGAAACACCTGACTTTATTGAATTAAGGAAACATCAAAAGTATGTTCATTTTGCAAAAAAAAATTTTTTTAATTAATGGATAGATTTAATATTAATTAATTGATTACTGATGATAATGATGATTGTTGTAGACCTGATGAAGAGGAAACCAAACAATTGTTTACTGTTATTCCACAAAAAGAAGTCCCTATTTCAGGGTTTATGGGATCTCAACACGTATACGATATTTCTAACACGGCAGGATCAACTGCAGCAACATCCAAAGGAGCAAAGGTTGACTAATAATAATAATTATCATATTTATTATTATTTATAATATTTATAATAAATAACTTTTTAAAAAAAATTTTTTTTTAAAAAAAAAAAAGAGAAAAGTAATAGGAACTGGTGTTGAAGTGGCGCTTGACCCTTCTGAGATGGCAAATTTGGATGAAGAAACTTTAAGAGCTAAATTTGAAGAAGCTCAACAGGTAAATAATTATAAAATATGAAATTTTACCTATGCTTGTTCGTGATTACTCATAATTAATTTGAAAATTAGGCACATCAACCAGAAGGAGCGCATGAAGATTTGTCAGACATGGTCGCAGAACATGCTAGTAAACAAGCTAAAAAGAGACAAAAAATGCAAGATGCAAGAGCAGCTGCTAGAGATACTGGATCCACTGGTAATCCAGGATCTAAGAAATATAAAGAATTCAAATTTTAGTATATGTATATTATATATTTATGGTGAGTTAAATATACACGTATGTGTATGTATGTATGTATGTACATACATATATATGTATATAGATATAATATAGATTTGAGGTTTAATTAATTATATAATAAAGATGTTTTGTTTTTTTAAAATAAAAAAATATATCTTATTCAAAAATTTTTTTATTGTATTAGAAAGATTTTTTTCTCATATTTTATTCATTATATTATATTATATTATATTATATTATTATATTATATTATATTATATTCTAATTCAATTAAATATATAATATTATATATTTATATAGGAAAAAAAAATATTATTAAAGAGAAATTTTAGTAAGTAAAAAATTTTTATATTCTTCAAGTTGAAATTTTTTTTTCTTTACAAAGTTATTAAATATCACGCGTGACTTTTTTCCAGTGTAATAATATGTATATAATTATTATTAAATACAATATAATCTATATAGATAAATATATATACATATTTATATAATAGATAAATATATATATATAATATACATTCATATATATAGTCATGTATATTTATTTATGTACAAAAAAACAAAATTAAAAAACTAGTTTACATGAAAATATTAACTAAAAAATTTTCCAACTCCAGCAGAAAACAATCTTCCTACAAGGCTTGGATTTTCAGAGGCAGCTCTAGCAGCCAAATTACTTGCCCATCTACGCTTTGCATCTTTGTCACATTGAGTATACCCAATTACATTGGCTGTATTCAACACCAATGCAACCGCCACTATTAACCACCAACTGGGCTGAAATAAGGACAAAAATGCAAATATCAACCATAATACCAATGTTAAATAAAGTGAAAACCAAAATACGCGTGAGTCTGTTGGATTAGTCGGTTTTGTTGGCTATTTGTATAAATATAAGAAAAAAAGTGAGTAGAAAAATTGAATGATGGGAAAAACTATTGTTAATTAGGTTGACGCTAGCAACTTTAAATTTTAATCAAACACTTACATCGTGACTTTCAAATTTCCAAACGTTTGTTCCATCCTCTTGGATATCATTCCACCATCTTAATCCAACCAATAATCTGCCAGTCACATTTTTCACTGTCCAAAAATCAAATGATAATAATAATACGCAGATTATAAAGATCAATGGGAAGTTTTGTATTATCAAATAGCCAAAAAGATACACTGCCATTGCTGATATTCGAAAAAATAAATGGAAAAATAAAGCAATTGGATGACTAAAGAGGGAGGGATAATAAATATTTATATAATTGATTAGCTGACTGATTGGTCCAAAAATTTAACATTACTCTAAAATCAATTTTTTTACCTCGATTGTTTCCAAATGCTTTGATTGGCAGCATTTGTAGTTGTTGTTGCTTCTTCTTTTACTGTTCCTGTTGTGGTGGTGGTTGTATCTTCTGTTGTGACCTCTATTGTTGCTGGTGTTGTGTCATCGGTAATGTTGGTAGTTGTAGTGATATTAGAGATCGTTGTTTTTTTAATATCTTTAAGATCTGATGTTTCTTGGTTTGGATCAACGTCTGGTTCTAAAGGTTCAGAAATACCATGTGGGGCTGCTTCAGATATTAAACTTTCTTCCTAATTATATTTATTAATGGGTATTAGTGGTCAATATAAAAGAGTTAATTAATTTATTGACAGGAATTTAATTACCATCTTGTTTTTTTTTTTTTTTTTTTTTTTTTTCAATGATAATGAAAATAAAGTTTATTCGAATTTGCAAAATCAAATAAATTTGTGCAACTTGTAATTTATAAAGAGAAGATAATAAAATACCCAAAAAAAATTTTTGTTGGATTCTACTTGTGAATTGGTTTTCACAGTCTGTAAATATATATTTTCTTTACTATTTTTAGACTTCAAAAAGTTTACATTTATTTTTACAATTTAAAAAGTAATCCCAATGACAATAATAACTACTACATTTAAAATCTTGATGTTCATAAATTCAGGTATTTTGACTCCATTCAGCATTGAGTTATTTCATTAAATTTTAAAATAAAACTTTTATCTTTTTCATTCAATGTAAAATTTGCAACTGAAGATTCCCATTTTTTATTCTAACAGGCTGGATTATATGATTACCAACTAATTCTCATGTTGCTTTAATTTTCATACTAGCTACTGTATTGAAACATTTTTCCTTGCAAACTGACCTAGAAAACCTATCATGAGATCCATGAAGAATTGGTTCAAAGCCATATGATGAAATATTTTTTATCATTATATAAGGTCACTTGTTTATTAATTCAAATTGTAAAATATCTTTCACTTGTCCATGGACCTTTTTCTTAGCTACTGTTTACCAAAGATGATGATGTTGAAGAAATCCTTCATATACTTTTATATTAATAACTTCTTTCTGAAGTTTGATTTTTCATTAAAATCAGATCTAATTAATGATATGAAACCTTTTAATGTTTTCTTTAATTCTTTGAAATTCACCACTCTGACTGAAATGACCTTTTCTTCTTTCAATTGTTTTATTCACCATTGAATAACATCATTCCAAATTGATCGTTGGTTGTAGATCCAAACCAAAATCGATAAATTGTTCATTCAATACTTTCACGTTTATATTCCTAAATCTTGTCTTTTAAATATAGACAGACATAAGCATTGATTTTTCAATAGCTGCAATTTTAAAATAATTCTGTATTTTACTAACTAATTCCATAAAATGATCTTGGAAGTAATTTTCTCAAATCCATTCTCTATTTCTTTAATTAAATAATTTTGGAAATATCAATCAATTCATTAAAATAATCCATTCAAAAATTTCATCTGCTTCCAGATTATCTATATTAATAATTCCATTGTAAATATATCTTTAAAAAATATTATATATTATTTTACGTAAAAGTCATAATAATAAAAAGATAATCAATCTCAAGAACTTCGGAGGAATATTTTCTTTTTCAAATAAAATAATATACCCAATTACCTAAAAATAGGGTTAAAATAATAGAATGAATGAGCCTTAAAAGTTTTGACATCCTGGTCCATCCACATTATATGAATTTGACTCATTCAATAATTTTTTTAAATCATTTACAAGTTTATTGAGTTTACTAATATATTTTTTTTAATGGCGAGCAAAGAACTTAAAAGTAAGTTTATCTATCAATTGTATTGTATTAATAATTTGTTGTGTGACACATCTATAATAATTCTTTAATATTAGATTAAATTTTAAATTAAAGGAAAACATGTTTAAAAAAGTTATGGTAAATTTCATTCATTATTTTTTTTCCTTTATAAAATAATAATTTCTTTAATAATCAAAATTATCATTACTAGTTTATTGGTTTAGGTAATCACAAATATTTAAAGACTAGACATAGTATTGGAATGCAAGTAATGGATCATATTGCAGATTTGAAAAATTTGACGTGGTTTAAGGATGCCAGCTTTCCTGGTGAATTTGCAAAAACAGTCATATATGCTGAACCTAAATCATCAAAATTAATAAATAATAATAAATTAAAGAAGAGTAGTAAGGGTGGTGATGATGGTGGTGATCTGAAACAACAAAATACAGATCAAAAACTAAAAAATGATGAAACAAAATCTAGTACAGAAAAATCAATATCACCTACTACTATTGCATCAGTTGGTATAGAAAATTCACCAAAATCATCGTCATCATTAGATCAAAGTAATAGTAACTATATTCCAATTGAAATTGTTTTATTTAAACCTCTATTATTGATGAATATTTCTGGCAAATGTATAGCAAAAGCAGGTATATATTTATTTGTCTTGTTTGAATAGGTTTGATCATTATTGTTATTATTATTATACTATAATATTTGTTTAATTACCTTGTGGATTTTTAAAAACATCACCAATCTTGCATATTTTCTTTTCCATAAATGTAAAAATTCTACAGTAAAGCATTTTGGAATGTCACCATCAAATATAATAGTAATTCATGATGATATGGAACGTGAACTTGGGAAAATTAGTTTAAAATTGGGTGGAAGTTCAAAGTAATTTATTTTAATTTTAATTTTAATTTTATTTTTTAAATATAGAAAACTTATAATAATAATATATATATTTTTAGTGGACATAATGGAATTAAATCAGTCATTCGATGTCTTCAGACTGAGGTAAATTCTCATTTCACTTTGTCCATTTTATTTCAGGTTCTTCTAACTGATTTATATATATATATATATATATAGAAATTTTGTAGATTAAGAGTAGGTATAGGCAGACCTAAAACATATGATGATGACAGAGATCCAGAAAATGTACAAAAATATGTTCTGGGATGTTTGACACTTGAAGAAACAAAAATTTTTAAAAATGAAATATTTTCAAAATGTCATGATACATTAATTGAATGTAGTATGGATGATAATATAATAAAAAGGAATTTGAATAGATAATGTTTAAACATGATATTAATCATCATTCTAATTTTGTATATTGATTGTATTTCATTAGTTCAATTTCCACAAGCATTAATTAATCAATCTTTAACTTTCATTTTAAACACCTAAATTTAATAATAAATTGGGTTCATCACCACCACCTTGTGTACCAACAGGTAAATACATCATGTTTTGTGAATTGGACATTTTTCTTTAGATGCTTCTATATCATGTAATTGTACTAATCTTTCGCTTGCTTTATCAGCTGCTCTTACAATTCTATCGGCAGCTTCTACTTTCCCTCTGCAAAATAATAGATGTTTTCTAAAAATTTAAAATTATTGAATGAATAACCTTTTCAACTATAAATTTTGCTCGTTCGTTCAGCTTCTTGTTCTGCAATTTGTTTCTTTTCTACTGGATGTGTAAATCCAGTACTAAAAGTTATATTTGTCTTTTCAATAAGAAATTTGCTAACAATAATTTATTCTTTTTAAAATATCCAGTCAACAAAGTATTATGAAATATTCTTTAGGTCATTACATTCTCGCAACGTGCATATGCTCATTCAATATCCTGTTAGCAAGAAATATAGATCACATGATATAGAAACATCTTCCAATTCAATATAAGACGTCTAAATTAAAAAAAAATTGCAAAAATGATTATTACTACCAAGTAAGGTAGTTTCGACCACCATCATCACTAAATGAAAAAAGTACAATAAATTCTATAGATTCGAATCAGTTCAAAATCAAATCAAAAGTACAATTCGGTTCGGATTCGATTCGAATTCAAAAATTAGGTGTTCGAATTTCATTGAGCCTTAATTTGTAAATATAATCAATCACCCATGTATTTAATATTACTAAAGAAAAAAAAAACTTTTTGATGGGATATTGGAAAAATTCTATTCTTCTTGCTACAAAAATTGTAATACCATTAGTAACAATTTCAAAATAGAAAAAAAAAACGCCTACCCACGATTGTTCAACAAATATTTTATCATCAAAGCCCAAAACACACGGTCCAGATAACCTCACTTGGTGTTGAATAAATCACAGAATCCTCATCTAATTCACATATATAACCAGGCTTCATACTGTCTTTTGTATTTACTATTCGGATAATAAATTCTTTTTCATTGAGCTTAACCTTAATTCTCATTAATTCTTATCCGGCCGGATAAGTTATTTTTGTATTTTCTTTATTAATAAAATTCTGCCGGTAAATACCGAATGGACCATAATGGATGATTTGGTTGGTGCTAAAATTTGTCTTTGATATTGTTTATTAGGTGAGATTCTTATTTGATTAATAAAATGTGCTTATTATTATTATACTTTGGCTATTGGTTAACCAGAAGTTTTGGAAGTATATATTAGGCGAAATTCCCCATCTTGAATGTTACAATTATGAATATGCAAAATTATTTTTTTCACTTGGTAAGTTAATTATAATAATACGATGATTTCTCATAAACTAAATGATTAGTCAAAAATTAATTAAATAATTATGATATTATTTATATATTAATAATAGCTGAGGTGGGAAGTATTCATCTTCTCACGTCAAGATATCTTTTTCTCTTCAAAGATTCATTGTACTTGAATGAGAATTATTGCATATGCACAGCTTTTAGAATCTTATAGATCACTGACAATGGAAATTATGGCATTTATTAACAAGTAAGTTTCTTGATACAAATAAAAATAATCGAGTCAATGAATGGCACCACAATTAATTGATTAGTTATTTTTTCTTTTAATAACATATCAGTAATATTTTAAATTTATTGTAGTAGGATAACTTAATTGTGTGATATGGAATTGTAGAGACTAATAGAGCAGGTGCAAAGAATGCACAATATCAATGAACAAATTAAGCAAGTCAAAAAAACAATGTTATTGAACTAAATATTGACTTAACCAAATAAATTTATTGATAATGGTAACCCTTAACCAATCATAAGTTTTCATATGTGGGGAGGGAGTCTGAAGACCCTGTCCAAAATTGAGTTTTTTGCATAATGTATATATATAACTCAAGGAATTATAGTTATTAGTTATTATACATATCAAAAACATACGTGTAACCAATTTTGTTTTGATAATTACACAGAACAATTTCAATTTGGTGAATATCTTTAAAAAATTACACACTTTAAAAAACAAGTTGGCATGTTTAAAATTAAAATCTCATGATAAATGTCAAAAAGGGGGTCTATACAAATAATATGCTTGCGCCACCATATTCTCGGGTTTTGGCAAAGTCATCAAAAACTTCAAGCCCAGAGATTTTGCAGAACTTATAAGGATAAGCAGAACTTCTGGCGGAGCAAGTCCGATGAGTGCTTGTATATATATATATCTCGCTCAAGCTTCTATTAAAAAAAAAGAAAAGAACATTTACCATTAATGTAATAGTAAGTTTTGAGTGAAGAGTATAATCAAATTTCAGTGCGTGTGTAACCAATGTAGGTCATCTTATGACAATAATAATAATAATAATTAGTCATGCCGTATGCTCACACACTAAAAAAACGTTAGTTTTCATTGGTGCACTTTAGAAAAAACTTTGTGTAATAGAAATTAGAAATTCCGAGATTGACAAGAAGTGGCAAATTTCGAAATTCGAATTCGATAAAAAAAAATATTCTGCTGCGTTTTATAATAAAAAACATTATATAAAATGTCGCTCAAAAATATTGGTTGAAAAAAAGTTTGATAAAAAAATTTAAAAAAAAAAAAATTTTAAATATAAATCAAAAAAAAATTATTTTTAAAAATGAATGATTTTAATAACGAGTACTTTAACCTTTATAATACGAACAACATTTACCATATGATTAATAATAACAATGAAAACCTTTACAATCAGATTGATATTGGTTTTGGTATTGGTATTGATGAGAGCTTCTTTTTTAATAACAGCAGCATTAATAATGACTGCTTTTTCAACAACAGCAACAACGACATCTATTACGACGTCGACAACAGCAGCAACAATAGCGACAACAACAACAACAACGACAACGACAACGACAACAACAACAACAATGACGACGACAACAACAACAACAACAACGACAACAACAACAACAACAACGACAACAACAACGACAACAACAACAACAACAACGACAACAACAACAGCGACAACGACAGCGACAGCAGCAGCAGCAGCAATAGCAACAGCAACAACAACAACAACGAAAAGTTGGACGACATTCGTTATGAAATGATCCAACGAAACAAACTAATAGTTAAAGAAATAACTCGACCTTATGACGAAGGGGAAGAATACGACAAAAAACTAGATAATTTATTAAACAAAATAGAGTCCTTCAGTAGAATTCGTACAAAAAGAATCCACCTGATGGTAGCCTATTATTTTTTAGGCGAAGAACTCAAGAAGTCTATCGACCCAAAGCAAACTTGGAATTTGTTTGCAAAAGAAAGGAATCGTAAGAACGCTAGGTACGATTATAAGGCAGCTGATAGAATTTTTCAGCTGTTTCAGCAAGTTGGCATGGACCAAATCTACCACACATCTCACTTAAGTGCCCATATTATTTACAAACTCAACAAAAAAGACTTTGACTTTTTGCTGGAAGATGCAAAATCGTTCCAAGACATGGCGAAGGACATCGAACTATAACTTACTCGTGAACATAACAATTAGGAGAACTTACATATACTGGTGGTAACTTCAACACCACAACATTATAACGTGGATAATTTTTTTAATCTTGATACTTTTCAAGCAATTAATTAAATTATATAGACATTTTTTTTATTTTTATTTTTTATTATAATTAACTATATGAATAAAGTTGATTTTTTTTCGAAAATTATTTAGATTTTACACCATTAATCTCATCATATTTTTCACACACACACCTCACTCTAATTATCTCACAAACACTTACTCGTTTTGAACATCAAAGGAAAAGATTATTTATTCTCTCTCTTTCTCTCGTTATAATACAATGGAGTTATATCAATATTCAAGTTTCAAAGGTGAAAAAAAAAATGATTTAAAGAAGTAATGATAGCTTTACTACAATCGTACGAAAATTTTAAGGGTTTGAATGATTTTTTTAGTCAATATGATTTAATGTTAATTGTATTGACCGTATAATCACTCAAGCCTTAAAATTTTTGTACGATGGTAGTAAAGTTATCATTACTTCCTTAAACCATTTTTTTTTTTTTTTTCACCTTTATAACTTGAATTTATTGTCACTCGTGATAAAAAAAACGAAAGAAAAGAAGAAGAAAGTAATCTTTTTCCACTTTGACTTTTCCCATTTTGTTTGAATATCGTTTAATTGGTTTTTTTTTTTTTGAAAATCACGCGTACTTGAAATATTATATTTGATATTGTTGATTGATGACGATATGTCATCCAGAACATACAATTAATAAGGTAACCAATTAATTAATGAAACAATTATTTGATTGATTAATATTAATTAATTCCATATGGAATCGAGTAGATTTTACGCGAACAAAAAACAAAGAAAATTTTTTTTTTTGCTATTTAGTAGTCCCATTCGAAACCTTTTTGATTCTCACGAACCGGACCTCGGAAACTTTTATATATGGATAGGTTATTATTATGTATCAATATAATTACTTCCTGCCACTGAAAATCAAGTCTATTAATAATATTAGCGGAAAGGCCAAATTTAAAATGCTTCCAATTAAGTTTCTCTGTAGATATGAGTGTCAAGTCACTCACACGCGCGCGCGCGCACCACACACATATTATAACCTATCTATATAGTTTTCGGGGTCTCTCTATCTGATACATGTAATGGTTAAAGATTAATTTTTATTCAAATAAAAAAAATTGTTATATATTTATATTATACAATTTCATATATTAATTTTTCTAAGAAAATTTATTTACAAAAGATTAAAATAAATTTACAAATGAGAATTTTTTCCTTGTCATAAAATCCTGACACAATCCACTTCCTTCCTTCCTTCCCATCAATCTTCATCATAATCTTACTATTATTTGAAAATTCATAAACATGATACTCCGTTAATGTTATCATTCTTTAAATAGAATAAATCATTCTTATAATACCCCCATAACATATTGTTACTATTCATATTATTAATGGTGGCATTAGTCGTATTTAAATCAGACGTAGAAATTGGATCATATAACTCATCTTTTAACATATGAGTATCTAATTCTATACGAGCTTTTTTATCTTGTTCCAAATGACTTCGATGTTCGTGATAAATATTCACCGGGGCTCCGAGCTCTTCTTCGTCTTCATTTTGCATCTTATTAATAGTAATTTTATTGTTATAGTTGTTATTGTTATTTAATTGCATAGCATGCTGAATCTTTGAAGAAGTTATATTTGTGTTTGTTGAAAAAGATTTTTTATGCGAATGATTGAATTTTTTTGATTTAGAAGAAGGAAAAGATGAAGAGGAATATGCTCTTGATGACCTATTCTTAATGATGACAATATTATTATTAATTTGTGAATGTTGTTGTTTATTAACATCATTACTGGTGTTAGTATTATTATTGATTGAATTCATCATTTTTAACAAAATTTATGTTTTATTATTTTTATTATTTTTATTATTTTTATTATTTTTGTTTTTTTTAAATTTTTTTTTATTTTTTTTTTTTTATTTTTTGAGCAAGTATTTATCATTAAAAAATTTTTTTCCCGTGGTGGAAAAAACTTCTAATTATTTCTAAAAGCAAAAGATTGATTGAACACAGCCATCATCCATGTAGAATAAAATGTTAGGTGGCTTTGCAATTTTCAAAATACTTTTATTAGAAATCAAATTTGGTTTAATTAAAAATCAAAATTATACATATATTGAACACCTTCCATATTTGCAAACATTGTCTAACTCGATCTGTGATTGGATTGGATGTTTTTGTTTGTTATTGATTGCCATTTATCCGTTTCCTCGACAGTTTCCTCAACAGGAATAAATTAGTGATATTGCTATCGTAATTATTTCTATTTTAGTTGTTGAGAATAATCTCCATTGTTTATTTTAATCTTTTGTCATTGGGTTAATCAAGTTTGCGTGTATATATATATATTATCATTCATTATCTAAATTAGAACTGATATCTGTTTTTGGTATTCGTTAATTGCATCGCCTCCAATGATCAAATCTCCATCACGCTAGGCGCAATACACATAGATCTCAATTTAATTGTTGTTACGATGGTTTATATCCAATGTATAATTAGAATTGTGTGTTTGATGACGACGACGGTTCATTCAAATCATTATCAGTGTCATAAAAGCACATGCGAGCTGTACTATGTAGATGCTGCTTATCTTTATGAAAGATGCAACAACAGGATCTCACAGATAATTATGGTTCAAGTTATATGAGAAAAAAGTAAGATCGATCATCTTTTCGAAGGGAAAACATAGATAGATAGATAAAGGTCATATGTAACATGTTCATTATGGTAAGAATAAGAGGAAATCATTTATTTTTATTAAAAATCATTGAACTAATAATTAATTAATGGTAGTAACAAAGGATTCATTTCCAATTGATTATGGAAATTAGAATCATGCGCCCGGAAATCCTAAATTTTGATATTTCTTTATTAAATCATCTATTTTCTATCTTCTAATTAATTAAAAGGCATACATACATACAACTCTTCATCAGATAGAATATATAAAGAATTACCTTTGAAGACGGTTTTTTAAATTTTTATCACCAAAATATATATTTTCAATATTTCCTCTGAATATAATATCATTCTCCAATTTGTTGAAGAAAGTACCAAAGCACTTCTACCCAGAGTTTTCAAAGTGTCTGCCTCAAATGAAATTCTCAAAAAAAAAATTTTTTAAAGTATTTTTTAAAATGAATTAAAATTTATAAAATGTTACATCATTCATCCACCTACAATAGTATTTATTGACCGTCATCAACCATAATCTGTTAATAATCTCATAACAAAGGCTCAAGTCTTCCAGTAATTTTCAGATAAGTAACGTCACTATCAATAATTAATTTTTTTTTGGTAATTACTCATTTAGAAATCGCTATTACTTTATCAACATTAAATATATTTTCCTTTCAAAAAACTTGAGCTAATGATGATTTAACATAGGATTCTTCTAGATTTGGACAATTGATTTCTCAATTATTCGTATTCATTTATTTGTTCATAATGATTTTGAATTTTGTTATTGTGGATTTTAGATTATACTAGTAGTATATAGTTAGTGAATGCGTTAATATTGCTTTTTTGAATTTATACTAGACTATATTATTCACTATATATTGTGTATGATTGATTACTAACCAATTAAATATAAGGTTTTCCCATGCATTCAAATAATCTTTGATCAGCATTAAATATTTAATAATATCAATAGGATTATCAATCATCATCGTATAAAAAAAAAATAGTAAGTGTATAAATTTAATGTTATAGCTTGGGACATTAACGTTAGTAACATCATATGATTTATATGCAAGACGGATTCCCATCGAATCATCCAGATGCTGTTATATTAGCAGGCTTTTGAATTTTTTACTCATGTATTATATAATTTACATCACATATATATATGGAAACCAATCATTATAAGGATAATCTCATTTTAAATTTCAAATTATTGAAAAAACTAAAAAATCAATGATGTATTTTTTATGTAATTGTTATTAATATTTATATATACACATATAAAGGGATCAATTTTCAGTTTCTAAAAAAAAAAAAACGAATTCATTCAACAAGATGGCCAGTCAAGAAAAAGCAGTAGCAAATGATGTTATCCAATCTTGGTAAATAAATTATTCTTCTACTTGTAATAAATTATATGATAATTCTGATAATTTTTTTGTCTCATTTAAAGTAATGAAAGTGCAGCAGCGTGTACGGTATGTATGATTGTTTACGTGAATGATGAAATTACATTAATAATATAGTTCGTTAATATTAATCTTGAAATCTTTCTTGGAATGTAAAGAACTGTGCTGACAATGCTCAACATGAAAAATGTAGTAAACAATGCCGCATCAACGCAGGTAAAAAGATGATTTCCTTTAATTATATATTTTGTTCACGCTATACTGACATCTCTGATATGTAAATAAAAGAACTTGCTACATTAACTGGAAAATTTTTGTCATTGGGTGCGCCTCAACTTAACTCTATTATCGATCTAACTCTTAGTTCCGCTAATACATGCGCTGAAGTCTGGTAAATATCTTTCCTAATTATAATTATTATAGTGATGATGATGATGATGATGATGATGATAATTTTTCATTTTTTTAAAAAATAGTAAACAGGTAACATTTCTATATACTTTTGACATCATTATTCTTGATAAAAAACCTTAATTAATTGAAAATAATAGCACTCGTCGGATCATTGTAAAGCTTGTGCAAAAGCAGCTTCAAATCTCCAACAATCTCTTCGTAAATATCAAGAGCAAGTTTCCGCTTGAAATACTTCTTTATTATTATATTTTTTTTTTACATGTTTATTATTTGTAAAAAAATAAATTGAAAACTTTTGCTTGAAATTAAAAATTTTTTTATCTCACATATGATTTTTCCGATTGATTCAATTGGTCTCTTTATTAGAGAATAAAATGATGGTGATACTACAGCTATTATTGAGTAGCACAGCGAGGAATGTATTTTTTCTTGAGAAAAGAGAGAAAAAATTATATCATAGAAATATTTCTATTCCAATACTTTATTTTAAGCAAAAACTAATATTATATTAATATTGAATGGCAAATTAATGCTAACAAAAAATTGTTTCTCAAGTTTTGATGCATTTTTTTTTAAATAATATATAATTATTTATTATAAAAAATATATTAATGGAACTTTACCAAGAAGTCTCGGGCAAGTTTTTTTTAGGTTAATGCAATTGTAACAGTATCCATGCCCCCACCAAATTTATCGTTAATACCAGCAACAATCCAAACAAGTCTTGATTGAAATGAAATAACGATAATCTTTTCCCATAAAATTTTCAAAATATTCTTAGTGTAACCCGAAAACTAGCCACATTCTACAGACTTAGACTCTTCTATGAGTGGCTTGTGTTGTGGCTTATTATTCATGGTGAAATGGTGATGTTATTACATAAATTTAATATATTTATGCATATATATTTTGCATATATATTTATAAAGGCGCGTGTTTTAAAAAAATGTAAGATATTTTTGAATTTAAAAAAGCGAAAAAGAGAAAACAATAAATGAGAAAATGGGGATTGCCCACATATCACCATTTTATTTATCTTTTTAATTTTAAATAAGATTTTAATTCATTTAGTTGATGTTTTTTTGATATAGTTACATGCATACATCATACATCATTATTTTTTAGTAAGTATTAAATGCAAGAAAAAACTTGAAAGAATTAAAAAAAAACTTGAAATCGCTCGTGTTACCATGTAAATTTTTCCATTTAGACTATGTAATCAAAAAGGAACCATTACCAATTAATTATTTTAAAATCGATTTTTTTCTAATACCTTTATTTTTTAAAAAGAATCTATATTTATCCTGTCATTGAACCATTCCTTTAATTGACAATCATGTGATGTAATTGTATATATGTTATGTGTATATTTAGGGTTTTACCAATTGTATTAAAATTATATAATTTAAGTAACAAAGATTTTTTTTTACATTTGACAACCTTCAAAATTCAATGTCGAATTGCGAGAAAAGATTCTTTCAATTACCATAAATGAATCATAATATTACAACACGTGGATACATTCAAAAATTTTGCCATTGTTCTTTCAATTGATATTTTCTATTGTTTTTATTCTCGTTTAGTGTAACTATTTGTGTCCATTATCAGAGGATGATGTGTATAATAATATAGTATATAAATGTAGGAGTTTTGAATCTTATTTCAAACAAAAAAAAATATTTGACTTATTCTCTAATTTTTTCAATAACATTTATTTTTCAAATAACATTTATTTTTTTAAAATTATTATTTTTAAATTAAATAAATTATAAACGTTATCATTGAAAATTTTCATATTTACGAACAACTTATTCAACAAAATGCTTGATACTCAATCTGACTATTTCACATCCGCTACTCTTGCCAACACCAGCATCAACACATTCACAGTAACCACACCCACAAGCATTGATTTTAATGATCAGATTGAAAATGACGATTGGAAATGGGAAGAAGGTCTTCGACTCATTGAAGAATTTGGTAATTGGACAAGCGGCAACGATAAATTGGACAATTTCATTCAACAAACACAACTAGAAAATCCGTAAGTATATTATATATTTTATGCTATTTAGTTTCATGTAAATTAATTAGCATTAACATCAAGTACATTATTATTACATAAACATAAATATATTTAGAGATCAAGATTATCATTTAAAATGGATACCTTTTGAGAATTTCAGTGAAGTAAAGTTCTTGGAGAAAGGTGGATTCAGTACTGTATTTTCAGCAATTTGGTTGGATAAAACTGATCAAGTTTGGTGTGAATATAAAAAAAAATTCATAGAGAAGCCACTTGTGGTTGCATTGAAATCTTTAAAAAACTCACAAGATCTTAGCGAAGATTTTTTAGACGAGGTAAATTTAATTAATCAATTAATCAATTGAATAATTATAACGAATAATTATATTCTACATATTCTCATACTCTATACATTCTGTTTGATTCTAGATTAAACGACATGGAAGTCTTAAATTAGATGGTTGTCGTTATCTTGTTCATTGCCACGGCATAACCAAGAATCCAGAAACAAATGAATTTATGATGGTTATGAATTTTGCTGATGAAGGAAACCTAAGAAACTATATAAGAAGAAACATGGGAACTCTGAAATGGAAGGATGTTGTAGAAATATTAAGTAATATTGCCATGGGTCTCTTGGATATTCATAAAAGTGCAACATTTCACAAGAATCTTCATTGTGGAAACATTCTAAAATACTCTATTTTCAATATCGCCGATTTTGGTTTAAGTGGACCATCAGGAACATCTAACCCAAAAGGTGTATACGGTTCTCTACCTTTAGTTGCTCCTGAAGTATTAGCCGGTGAATCTTTCACAGCTAAAGCTGATATTTATAGTTTTGCGTTTATTATGTGGGAACTTTCTTCTGGAAGACCACCATTTTCGGATCGTCCTCACGATCACTCGCTTGCTTTAGAAATTTGTCATGGATTTCGAGAATCAATCATACCAGGAACTCCATTTTTTTATGAACAATTAATGAAAAGGTGTTGGGATGCTAATCCACAGAACAGACCCGATGCAGAAGAATTGGTTGACATTCTAACAACACCCTATGCTTATCATCGACGTCTTCTTGGCTTAGACGAGGATTCGTTGAATGGTTTAGAGGATATTAATGATCTTAATTCATTCGATGAAATATTAAACTCACACATTACAAACGTAAGATATCCAGTTGCACCGGATACACATCCATTCGCTATCTACACAAGCGACTTTTTATTATTTCCAAATCTACCTGCACCCACCAATTCCATAGCAATTTCTGATCCATCAGAGGAGAAGGACGAACCAATATCATCATCGCCACCATTTTTCAGCATTAATAACAGTAACTTTTTAGATCAAGTGAATTTGGCCTTTGAAGAATATGATACTAACTTCCCACCACCAGAACTTTCAGAACCAGAAACTGATAATGAAGCAGAAGATGAGATTTTTATCCCACCACCTTCGTTTCCGATAATGAGAAGAAAATCAATTGCACCACAACCAGTGTTTTAAGAACATAATCAATTCTTTTTGTAAATTAATTTCATTGTTAAATGATAGATGGATGGTTGATAAGGTGGGGTGGATATGTTTATAGACAAATCAATATCAACTTTTGTAAAAAAAATCCCTTCTCTTTTTATTATTTTGGTTAAATTTAATAATAATAATAATAATAATAATAATAATAATAATAATAATAATAATAATAATAATAATAATAAATTATGTTATATATTTATTTATTTTTGTTTTACTTATATAATATATAGATAGATTTATATTATTTAATATAGAACACACATTTAAATATCTTTACATTTTACAAAATCGCAATCACAAACTCAATTATGTTTTAATTTTTACATTTATGAAATATTTTTGCATTAATTTTTTACATTTACATATGTTTTTTTTTTTTTTTTTGCGTGCGCATACATTTCTAAGATTTTTTTATTCATCATAATTATCATCACTCTCATATAACAATCAATCAATCAATCACTTTAATGAATTAAACATTTATATATGAAAAAAAAAACTCGAGTTTTTAATAAATATATTATTTTTTTTGTAAGATATGAAATTACATGATTTTTTCTTCTTTTTTTTTTATAAAAAAAAAGATGTCATTTATAATAAGCAAATAAAGTTTACATAAAGATCTTAATTTTTTTTCTTTAATAAATAAGTTATTATTATTATTATTATTTAAAAAAATAAAAAAACGTACTTTTTTTGATGCCTTTGGTAGTAGCCTTTAATTGATGCTTACTTCTTTGTATTTTATCAGCTCAGCACGTATAAGTTCAGTTCTTAATATTTTAGCATATGGATTGAGACGCAATGGGTTCTTTTGTGCATATAATCGTTTTGTAGCTAGCCTTAGATCTTTTAAAAGTTCCAAACATCTGGAATATTACAAAAAGCCTTAGCAAATGCATTCTCATTATTATAAACAATCCTCTACGTTGTCTACGACACCTATCACGCATTTTTCCTTTATCGACAGGCATTAATTGCTTTAAGCAATTGTACTACCGCTCAATACCCATCACCAATGACAATTTTCTATTGTTTATGTTACACAGAATATACCGCCAATTTTGACAGAATGTAATCCTCCAGTTCACTTACTTTGAACTATTTACAATCAAACTTTGTTTCACTATATACTAAGGTCAAGCAAGAGAGGAATGACCCGAAGTAATGTTAAATTACATACCTTCCTTCCAAATTAGGTTATTTTCAATTGAATATATAGTGTAACAGTGTAACACAAATCGAATAGCCCATGTATCGCCGTATATGTAGAAATTTTATCAAATAAATGAGTGTTCGAAATTTCGACTACGCCTTAACGTAGAACTAGTCTAATTTTAAAAATTATTTGCGGTTAATATCCATATTTGGTTAGCTCGTCTCGAACCCGCCTATTGAGTTTCGAACACTAGGCATTACTTTGGGATACACTGAAAACTCGGGGTGGCGTGGTAAGAGTTTTCAAAAGCTATTACTATATATATATATTAATATATTAATATATAGTAGAGACCCTTTTTACTATAAGATAATCATATTAATATTTCTACTTGATCAAATAAAGAACGGGGCTTTTAGCTGTTTCAAAGTTTTCATATTAATTTGGGTTAGGGTTATTTCAGAGACAATATAACTCATTAGGCATTTTGCATAGTAAGATTTTGATTGTTTTTTAAAGTTTCAAAAACAATAGTAAACTCTTGAAATGTAGATCTCTTTCCATTTTTCCCAATATCAACAATATATGGGGCTATTCGAACATTTCATTTATGTAGATCGTGAATATTCAATGAATATTCGGTACAACATATCAAATTAGAAATACTAAAATATATGGCCGCCCAATCGTGTTTCGGGCATGTGACCTGGCTTTTATATTCGAATTTTTATTTATATTGTTTATTTCATATAAATTGATTTTAAAAGGAATATTAACGTCACTTTTTTGATCAAGTGAAAGGACAATCAATCAGCCGTTTAATTAAAATTTTATATTAATATTTCGGGTCTTGTAATACAAATTATTATTCGTTTTTCTCGTTTTATTCGAAATATATACTCGTTTTACTCGGTTTATTCGTTTTATTTGTTTTATTCAAATTTTCGCTGATTTATTCGGTTTATTCTAATTACTCGTTTTATTCGTTTTATCAAATTATTCGTATTTGTTTATCTAATTATTCGTTTTATAAAAATTACTATTTAAACATTGTGCATTATGATTAAAATCATTAATTGATGATTCGTCTATGAATCAGAGAAATGCTGATCAATTTATTATAAAATACGGGGGAAATTTCATGATCGACAAATATATATATATATATATATATTAATTTTCATTGATTATTCAGTAAATTATTATTCAATAAATGATTATTCATTGATTATTCAATGAATATTCATCCATTGTTAACAAAAAATTTTAAATTAATTTAATCATTTTACATTCTATCAAAATCATCAATATTTTTTTTTCAAAAAAGCAATCTTTCAAATAAAAGTGGATCAAGTTTTGTTCTTTTGAGATCATCATATAAGTGTGTAATATAATTAATTAGATGTAAATTCACCACCACATATTACAATATTACAATGAACAATAATATTAGAAACTTCAGAGACATTGACTTGACAAATAGCTCCTTTAAACTTTTTTCCATCTTTTACAATTTCAGTTTCTTCCATCAAGTTCCATATCCAACTTGACTTCTTAGAACCACCCTTCACCTTTCCTTTCTTCAAAATACGAGCAGCAGAAGACTCCTCCCTTCTCATTATTCGTTATTACTTTTTCCTATTATAGTGACTGAGGCTCTTCTTTCATTTTAAATTTAGTTAATTAGATGAATTAAATGAGAATTTATTTGACGTGAGGAAATTTTATTTCAGTTACACGAGATATTGATTATCAGTTATTCAGTGAATATTCATTTTTGACATATTTGGAAGTGTTTAATGACATGATTTTATATATTTAATTCCATGTTAAAAATTTTCCGTCTTTATTTTTTTATTGAATTTTATATAATGAAAAAATAATGTTTATCTCCAAGAGTAAAGTCTTTTATTCATCATTTCTATTAAAAGAGAGAATTCAAAAGAATTTGGAATTTTTCTTAAAAGGAAGATCTAGATTATTTTTAAGGAATCTTAAATTAGAACACTAGACTACACCACCAAAAGTTCCTGGAATAAGGGAAGAGAATTGTCTAGACGGATGTCAATTGATTTATCATTATTATTAAAAAAAGATCAATTGTGATTTGTCAGAGGAATGCTGATCAATTTATTATAAAAATATGGGGAAAATTTCGAAAAAACTTCTTAATAATTTAATTAAGTAATATGGTTTTTATCAAACCAAAACAATAGCATTCATGGATCAATTCAAGGTGTTTAACGACATAATTTTATTAATGCACAATCATAAAGTTTTATGTATTTAATTTCATGTTTTTATTGATATGCATTTTGAATTTTGAATTCTAATACAAAAACTTCTATATAATGAAAAAATAATGCCTACCTCGAATAAAGTCTTTTATTTATCTTGAAAATAAATCGGAAATGATTTACAATAAGTTACACGTGACAAAAATCTGAAATATCATCATTAATTCTAAAATTCTATTTAAAAGAGAGGATTTAAAATCATTCAAAAGAAAATTGGAATTTTCCCCAAAAGGAAGGTCCTGATTATTTTTAAGGAATCTTAAATTGGAACAAGAGACTACATTACCAAGAGTTCCTGGAATAAGGGAAGACCTAGATAGAGAATTGTTTAATGAATTGTACTTAAAATTAATTCTGAAATGAACAATAATACTATATAGTTTTGAAAGTAAAGCATAAATACATATCGCAAAAATTATTATTATTCTTTAGCATAAATTATTATTATCATCATTCAAGACTCAGACAATCAAGCAAAGCAATTTTTTAAGGGTAGGGGGAATTATATGTAAATCCGGGCTCAAAAATCCAAATTTATGCACATTACATAGATAAGTTACATGAAACGCGTTTAAACATCTTCGAAATTTTGTTGCATGTAAATACAAAACCCCTTTAATTTTTTGGAAAATTTCAAACAAAATTAATTAGTAAAGATTTATAAAATTCTTAAAATTCTTCAAAAAAA